AATTTATGTAGTATTGTGATTCTTTTACATCAGTGTCATTTAAGGGTAAAAGGTCCAGGAAGGTTGATATAACTTAACAGAGAAGAATTATTCAATAATGGCTTTATGGAAAACTTTTTTTCCAAGATGAAATTTTTTCCAGCAAATAATGTTTCTGAATTTCTAGGTACTGTGTTGATGTTATAAAGAAAATACTTCCTTTCCTTATAATGAGTTCAGTTTACTAGAGGAGCATTTCGTTCCTCTGTATCATATAAAATAGCATAGTACTTGCATAAAATCTCCACACATTCTTTGGCATACTTTAAGCGATCTTTAGATTTTATAATACATAGTGAAGTTTAAATGCTACGTAAATAGTTGTTATAAACGGTTGTTCAAAGACTAACGATGAAAAAGTAAGTCTGTGTTCAGTATAGGACCCAAATATTTTTCTGAATATTTTCAGTTTGTAACTGGTTGAATTGTGGATGTAGAACCCACAGATAAGAAGGGCTGACCATAAAGTAGGCAGTCCCAAGACCAGGTAAGGAGAAATTGGTAGAAGAGGATCCTAACAGAGGCAGTGCTGTGTAGAGTTTAAAGAACTAGCCGAACACTACAGAAGTAGTATATTTCCTGTGCTAGATGCTCATTAAACAGGTTATTGGAAGAGAATTACTGACACTTTTCTGTAAGTCATAGTTAAACCAGAAAAACAGAACCAATAGGAGAGAGGTTAAGAGGATTATTGCGGAGAATTGGCTTAATTGACTGTGGGGGCTGGCTAGACCCTTGGGGCATTAATTTGTAGGGCGGGCCCTCTCCAGAAAGAAAGGCTGAATCCTTGAGTATGAACGTGAGCTGGCATTGGTTTCCATAGCCAGAATTTCTTAGGTCTATTCTAAAGGTCTTTCTACTGATTGAATCAGGTCTACCCAGGTTATATAGGTTAGTCTCCCTAATTTGAAGCCAACTAGTTATAGCCTTTAATCACACCTACAAAATATTTCACAGCAACCTAAATTAGAATTTGGTTGAGTAATTGGGGGGCTATAGCTTTGCCAAGTTGACACATAATACTGAGCCTCACAGTCACCCAGCAGACGTAAGCTCCAAGGGAGCACTTTGGCATTCTCTATCTTTGTCCTCAAACTTTAGACTACTAGTTAGAGAGTAATACATGGCACTTCACTTGTTCCTCTGAGAAGACAGGCCACGGAAGGTGGAAAGCTGTTCATGTTGTCAGAAGTTATAAAAGATGTGAACCATATTCCCCAAATTGATTGTAAGTACTGTGACAGTATAGACAATGTTTTAGAAGGAAAAAGCATTTTTACTAAAATGCTTTCTTAGTACATTGATTCTAAAATGTTTTCCAGTTCCTGAGATTCTAAATGTGGAAGAGTACATGTCTTAGAAATGACAAAATACAATTATTTTGTGTGTTTGAATTTGGACTAGCTGCTTTTAGAGAGGTAAATCACTGAATCATAAGATATTTCATAGCAATAGAAGATAGCATATGAACCTCTTAAAATCTCTTTTAGTATACACTTATTTATGTGTATTAGGCAAATGTTCTACCACTGAGCTACATCTCTAGCCTTAAGAGTCTGACTTGACTTTGTCAAAAACAACATTGAGCTAGTATAGGGAATATTTGAGAGCAAACAGTATTTTTAACTGCTTTAAAATTAACCTTTAATATAAGACACTGGCATTTTCTAACATAAGTCCCAACTCAGACACATGTAATAACTCATTGTCATTATCCTTGTTCCGTTATTGATGACTAATCATATGTAATTGTCATTTTTTAAAAAATTCAGGATGGATGCAACTTTGAAAGAACTAACTAGTTTAGTAAAAGAAGTTTATCCAGAAGCTAGAAAGAAGGGAACACACTTCAATTTTGCAATTGTTTTTATGGATCTTAAAAGACCTGGCTATCGGTAAGTAATTCCTCACTTTTAATTCTATTTTTGTTGTTATTGATAGACTTTATTGTATTTATTTTTATGTGGTGCTGAGGATTGAACCCAATGCCTCACACATGCTAAGCAAGCATTCTACCACTTGGCCATAACCCAGCCCCGGTTTTGGCATGTTTTTACAGATTCCTTTAATGAATTCCTTTCAATATTGTGGGAAGGAGAGTATTTATGTTATCTTAATATCTGGTTTAGCTACATTAGTACTTTAATTTTTGAACTGTTACAAGGTAGAGCAAATTCAATCCCATGTTCAGTTTTGTAACACATACTCAATTGATTTATGGTCCAGTAACAGTTGATTTCTTTTCCTGCAGAGTTAAGGAGATTGGCAGCACCATGTCTGGCAGAAAGGGGACTGACGATTCCATGACCTTGCAGTCACAGAAGTTCCAGATAGGCGATTATTTGGACATAGCCATTACCCCTCCAAATCGAGCACCGCCTCCTTCAGGGCGTATGAGACCATATTAAATTATATTTACTATCTCTCAAATTTATTTTTCAGCCAGTTATGTAAAATAAACTTACATACTCTTTCCTCCCCTGATTTTTGCCATTAAGCCTTTAAATTCTAAACAAATTGTAATGCATCTATTTAGGAGTTAGATTTGGATATACTATGGGTATGGATATTAATAGAAAGTCTGTATGTTTCACGCCTCTGTAAAATATGAAGAAAAGTGCTCTTAGCATTATGTGTACAACTGTTAAATATATATGTACAATCAGTCTGAATGTGAAAGTCAATGGAGGCATGGGAATAAGGTTTCATCTCTTATATGAAGTTTATACAAAGTAGTGCAGGCGGCTATTCCCAAAGGTGAAGAATAAAAATACTGAGATTATGAAATTAGCATGAGTTTGGGCTGTAGAGTATGCAGTTAGAAAATGACCTATGACAATGAGGCAGCAGAGGCTTTTTGGAATGGTATGAGCTTCAGCAAGTTGAAGGAATTGTGTTGGAAGACATGGCCTGCCTTGGTTTGGGTGCTAAAGAATAGTGTTATGGTGAAGATTTATATGCTTTAAAATGGAGGCTAGGACATTTTGAAGGCAGGAGCCAATATCTTTAAGATCTGAAAAACTGAGAAAGGGACAAAAAAAAGAACTTCTTACACATCCTGCGCTGGGGGCTAGTGTATGATTTGAGAGGCATTATATATAACACAGTGATTAAGACCAATGTACAAAGCATTTAAATTCTGATTGTACCAGTAGCTCTGCAATCTTAGATGAATTACTTGAGTCAAGTGGGGGGGCGCTGGTGGTGGTTTTTAATGGAGACACTAGTCCATAGGGTTATGAAAGTTTAAAAAGGACCTAGGATAGTGCTTGGTGGATTAGAAACAATAAATACTGGTTATTAGCCAGAAAAAAGAACTTAGTCAAAACTGGAGAATTATCTTAATGCATTGTTTGATTCTCATTTTGAAGTTTATGAACTAGATAAAAATGTATAGAAAGCCTAGTTATTTTTAGTCTGACAGTAGAAAATTGAAATCCCCAAATGATAAAAGTGCTAAAAATGTGCAAGTAGTCTCAGTAAAGTGAGTTTTATCTTGTGCATACGAAATAGTCATTTAAAATCTGATTCTGTCAAATTGTTGTCCCTGTTACAGTGAGTCCACAATTTCAGATGACTAGATCTTAGTGGTTCTTTGCTGTAGCTTACTCCAAACCCTTAGCTTATATATTCATTCAGACTAGATGGACCCGAGTTACTAACCTTTTGGAGAATAGCCATGATTATCTTCCTGTTTGTGGGACATGAAAGGGGGGATGATTTACTATTTACATCCAAAGGGTGGGAACCACATTAAGGACCTTCAGAAGCCAATTTTTTCATATAGTGTGATCTCTTATCTTACAAGGGCTCTCCTGTTAATTCATGTTATTTTCTCACTAGTTTTAAAATAAAGTGGTTTAGCTGGTTTGCCCAATTCTATTCTTTGTTGGTTCCAACATGAAATTTTTCCTTTAAAGATTTCAAGTCTTTTCGGGGCTAGGGATGTGGCTCAGTGGTGGAGCACTTGCCTAGCAAGTGTGAGGCACTGGGTTCAATCCCTAGCATCACATAAAAATAAGTAAATAAAGATATTGTGTCCATCTACAACTAAAAAATGTTTAAAAAAAAAATTCAGTTTTCTACCAAAAGCATAAAGTTCCAAGAATATGCATTGAGTTTGTATTGGCTGTACTAAGAATCAAGGCTTAGCCCTTGTCTTCCTTTGACTTTGTTAAGAAGGTATGGTTTTAAGTAGTAACTGAACTATTTTCTCAGAAATAGAAGTGGTTACCATTACAGCATCTTTCTCAGTTCTTTAGTATCTTTCCTAACTGCTGCAATTGCTTATAGGTTTTCAGAGTTGAAATTTTTCCTTTAGAATGTGTGAATTACAGTACGACATTGCCCATGTCTTTTCTGTCTAAAACTGGAATGGTTATGCCCATGCTCATTGACTCAGGTAATGTTTCAGAGATAAGTTGTGTGTGTGTGCATGCATGTGCATGTGAAGGGCAAGTATGAGTGGGGGGAGAAAAAGTGATTAACTGTTAAACAGGCCACGTTGAAAAAATTTTAAACTCTTGTTATTCTTTAATAAAGAGCCAAACTCAGCCAATCTATTGTGTTCAATCAAACACAAATTCCAAACTTGGTTTTTGTGAAACTAAAAAGGGAACACTCTAAAACCAAGCTTGTCATCATAATTATGATTTTACGTCATAATTATGATTTTACATGCTTTGCTGTGCCAAATACTTGGGGAACAACTTTAACCAAGCATTATCTCATTTAACCCTTACAACTGAAACACAATGACCATATAGGTTCCATCTTAAATGAGATTGATGCCTACTTCAATATCTCCAAAGTAGGTAGCCAACAACAATTTGGTTGAAACTTTTCAAGAAATAAGTGTTCTTTTACAGTTTCTTTTATCCTTAATTCTTTAGTCTGTCTTCCACTCACTGACATGGTTTTGGTAGTGGAATTATCTTCAGTGATAAAATTCTGCCAAGATAGTCATTGAAAATAAATAGACCCGCTTTATTCGACTTTTATACAAACCACAAATCTGTTTTAAGATATCCAGGGTTTCCAGAATGAGTGGAAGAGTAGCCAAATGACATCTGTCTGCTTTGTTTCTTATTGATTAGAAACAGACCATTCAACATGGCGTTTATTGTACCTGTTAGTGCATGTTCTCTTTTGTGCAGTAAGTTTATGACCATCAATTGATATCAGTTGACATTTGTGGCATCAGGGCCTTCACAGCCACCTCTCCAACCATTGTTCCTATGAAATTCTGCTTTGGTTCCACAGTAGGAACTTTAGTTGTTTTTCATCAACCTCACAGCCACTATAGCCAGGTACCCACCTGCTTAAGGGCTGCCCGCCCTCCCCATCTCCAACTTCCCCGCCTTTGAGAGTTCTGGGTCAGTAAAATGAATTACTTCTGCTGGGTCACAGCTGCTTTCTCTTTGCTGTTTTCAGTATTTCTGTCCCCTTCCTTTGTGCCTCTGGCTGTTCAGACTTAACTCTACAATTAAAATTACCCCAATTACAATCAACTAAGACAATCTTAACAGAATTTGATGAAATTAAAGCAATTTAAATTGTGAATGAGGTGAACTGCCTTAGGGATTTTTAAAATCTGTGAATTCTGAATAGTAATTATTGGGAAGTGGCAGAGAATTTACAATACTCCTGAATACTCTAGTCCCTGTCCTCTCAGTCTTTCCAGTAGCATGACTATCTTAGGTACCAGGTGTTGTGGACCAATTACACAGATGAGATACAGATTTTTCTTTCCTCAGAAAACCTTAGTCTAGCAGGGAGGAAAAAAAAAAAAAACTGAATAAAAGGTGAACAGAAAAGTGTCATGAGAAACATTGCTACTGAAAATAGGATAACAAGAGATGACATTTGAACTTGTCCAACTCCTGAAAGACAAGTGGGAATTATACTCCAGAATAAGGATACAGCATGAACAAAAGAGGAAATGAGGTTATGCAACCTTATGTACTGCTGTCGGTTCAACACAAGGAGGTAGGAATGCCAAATGCTGTTAGGATGATCAGGATGAGAATTGGAGTAATGGCAGAGCGTTAAGGTACATCTGAGATTAAATTGGAGATTATCAGGAAGACCCGGGTGGGAAATGGGAAAGAAAAGTGAATCATTAAAGCATCAACGTGCCTGCTTCAAATTTAAGAATTAAATAGTAATTCAATTATTACTCAGTAATTGTTTAATGTTATCACCAATTCATTCAATAAACATGCTAGATACCAGGGTAATGAACACAGCAAACAAGGTCCTAAGACTCATAAAGGTTGTAATCTAGCAGGGCAGAAAACATTAAATAAATGTATATTCAAATAAATACTACAAATTCTACCAAGTAATGTGAAGGCCAAACAAAAACAGGTGTTAAGAAAGAAACTTTTAAAAAGGGGGAGAAACTGGGGGCTGTGACGCATGCCTGTATCCTAGTGCCTTAGCAAATGCAAGGTGCTAAGCAACTCAGTGAGACCCTGTCTATAAATAATAAAACAGGGTTGGGGATGTGGTTGGTCCAGTGCCCTTGAGTTAACCCCTGGTACCAAAAAAGGAGAGGGACTCCTTCATAGTGGCAGGATACATAAAGTTTTTGATAAAATGACATTTAATCTGAGACCTGATAAACACATCATTCAGAACTTTCTTACAAGTTTGAAATAACCAGAAAAGTTCAGCTAGTTTAATCATAAGGACTTTTATGGATCATTTCACTGGAAAGTCCAGGGGTAGAGCTAGCTGGTGTTAGTTTGGTTGACCATGGGGGTCCTCACACCTCATTCTTCTTGTTAGGGGTCTTGTGTAGGGTCCCATGCTTGGCAGGCTGTTTCTGTAGTAAAAAGCAGCTCCAGGTGTTCCTCTACCTCCAGAAAAGATATTGTGCTGCTCTTTTCTACTTTCTCTAGGCTCCTTTGCCGACACTGACTGGCAATGCTAAGGGATTGAGATTCTGCTAAATGCTGGGTTCTAAGTTCTAGTGTCTGCCAAGGTCCTGATGCAGGAAGAGTGGGGAAAACAAAAGATGGTGGTGGTGTGGCTAGGGTATCACACTGCAGGAGGGAGACATCAGCTGGAGTCAAATCAGGATACTGGATTTCATTTGAACAGCAATGTGAAGACGTGCTTGAAAGATCCCAACATTTGAAGCTGGAAGCATCACTATTCTAAGTAACAAGCTAGGATCATGGAAGGTAGTAAAGATTCAGAAAATAATAAATTTTGAACAAAATAAATTTGAAGGCCCAAGGCCATCATAAAACAAATGCAGCTCCCTTATAGGCAAATGCCTAAATCTTTTTTTTTTTGCTCATTTTTAAGAAGTCTTTATGCTCCATATCCCTCTAGTGGCACTGTTTCTCTTCCCCTCATTAACAAGTCCTCAAAAGAGCAGTCTAAAGCCATTGTCTATTTCCTCACCCCTGTCTTCTTAGATCCACCAGACTTCCCTCACTAGTACTCCACCAAAATTACTGTTGTTGAATCAACTTTGCCAAATCTAGTGATCAATCCTCAGTTCTCTTGTTACTTGACTTGAGTAAAGTATTAAAGTAATTGACCACTTTTCCCAACCCCCTTATGCTGTATCACTCTGCCTCTTTCTACTGCTTCCTCCTTCAGCAATCTCATCTGGTTCTATGGATTGTTACATTGGATTGTTCTATGGATTGTTACAGTGAATGAAAAGCTGATAATAAATTTCAGTTATCAGCATACATAAAGTGCACTAGAGCAGCTTTACCTTGAAAATAATATGTTGAAAACTTACACTATATTTAGCAAAAATCATACTTAAAACTATAGTAATTCCTGGCCAAGAAATAAATCAGGTTTTAGTGACAATTTTCTGACAAAATTAACACAGGTCAATGTCACAGGTCTTTCACATGACTTTGAAAACACAATTATAAGAAGGCAATTTTACCATATTGAATTTCTTAAAGCCGAGCCTTTCAAGCACCTAGTCATAACTGTCAACTAATTTCAAGTTTTTAGCTGATCTCCAAAGTATGGTAGGTCCTACTTTCCTGTTGACTATAATTTGAAAAGTTCTTTGTTGCTTTTAATCAGATGGATCTTGAGCTTAATGGATGGGGCAGTTTGAATCTGCTAGGTAGTTTTAAAGGCTCCTGTGGCCCTAGCCAATGGTACGTAGGAGGCCTGTGGGCCCAGGTCCAGACGTTGGAACCTTCCAGAGAGTGAGGTTCAGGATCTGCTGAGTGGCCAACCTGGAGAGTAGAGCTTGAAAGATCAGCTGCCATGTGATAGAAGGAGCTGAGTGAGAGAATGAAACCAAAACCCTGTAAAACACGGGAGAAGAGAGAAGAAAAACACTTGAACAGTAGTGAATGTCTGACTTCAACTAAGACTTCCTTCCACCTTCACTGATGACAGTGCAGTTACCTAACCTGGTAATTTCCCTCTTTTTCTAAGTTTCAACTGTGTTTCTGTTATGTACAAATAGCAGTAGTCTTAAAAGAGCACTGATTAAACAAAAGATAAAAATGACTTTTGAGAGTCACGAGATGACAAAATGGTAACAGCCACCTGGCCATAAGAAGATCAGGGGTGATGTGTAGCAAACTAGCATTTACATTTCTAAAATTACTTGTCCTATACCCTGCTATTACTTAGTCTATTCTGGTAGATTAAGTGGGGCAACTTAACATCAGTGACTGAACTAACTACATATCAATCAGACTAATCTTAAACCAAATCAAAATTTCATAAAAATCATATAATGACATAAATGTCCATATTCCTCTTTAATACTGATCATTTTTAAAAAGGAAAGAAAGAGAAGAATTAATAAATTGAGTCCATCTCTGCTTCTACCTCATTCTGTTCAGTTTCTAAATTGGATAGATCCACTAGAGATTCTACAAAGATACAAATAAACATTAATAGCTTCCAACAAGATAGATGACACAACACTGTGGATGCATATTTTAATAATTATAAGAGTTTGGGATTAGGTTCCCACTGATATTATCAAACTTGATAATTTGGGAATCTGAGATTTAAGAATCACAAATTCTATGTCAAAAAGACAATAGGCTGGGACATA